TAACCAGATAACCAAATGAAAGATTGAAAAGAAGATAATTCTGATACCACATAATAAGATTACATTATTGCTTAAAAGCACACAAGAAAATTAAATTTATTAGTTCTTCCTTGAATCTCTAACAGGAAGTAGATCACATATACTTTTAGGAAATACATGATTTACAAAGCACCTGTGGGTGATGACTATGCCCAGTTAGTTCTTAAAGACTTGGTATCAGAGAGGAATGAGTGATTATTTTTTTCTTGGCAGGAAGGAAAATACAATCTGTGATTTGAAAGAAAATATTCTATAGCATATCTTGTCTCAGGGATTCCCTTTTCAGTGATTCTGACATTTAGGACCATCTCTGGAAATCTCTTTTACATGGATATGAGGTATCTTGACATTTCAAAATGACTTCTCCAGCTGCTGTCAGACAAGTCCTTGAACCAAAGTCTCACAGCCACTTGGCAGATACCTTCCTAGTACAGTAGAGAGTAAAATTCAATTCAGTGAGTGGTTCCACTGTGTTCTGGTCAGTCTCCACTTTCCAGTTGGAGAAGACAGGAGGGTGCTTTATAAAGTTATTGATATTTTAGACAATATTTTAATTCAACATAGATTTGTGTAATCTTTAACATAGAATTGGCCTAGGGGATTCATGCCTGCCACAATGTGTTTCCCACATGATTACATACATATTAAGCACATGACATTCATATGTGTCACAGGGAGGGAATGTCTGCTAGAGGTACATGCAAAATACATGTTCTGAGCTAAAGAGATTTCCCACTGACATCAAACCCTTGAGATTATCAAGTACCAGAGCATTTATTCAAAGCCAAGTTGTCTATAGAAATATGTGACCAAAACTGGACTGTGAAAGGTAATGCTGTATCAGTGTAAAGGCTGGAGACCATAGGGCAAGATACTGGGACTGGGAAGGAAGCGAATGCTGGGGACATAGAATAATGTACAATCTCAGAACCTACCTCAATTAACATGTACATACACTGAAACACTGCATGAGTTCTGTTGGAAATGATTTAATAACATCTTTAACCAACTTATAGGAATTATACCTTTAGGGTGAAAAGGGCCAAGGAAAAACACCCTGTCTCTGACTTGATCCTAAATTATGTGCTCTTCCATGCTTCTGGCTATTGAATGTGTGTTTTTATATATGTTCTGATAAACATTTACCTAAAACACAAAATATAGCTTTGAATAAATCTTACAAAATGAATATCAAGAGTTGCTGAAGAAATCAGATATTGCTTGATAAACAATAATGTTTGTGGTACTCTTTATTATTTGAGTCTGTTGGAGTCAGTAACAAGGAATCATCCTTGTAAAATTGTGTTAAAGTTTTGTTTAAATATCCCTCAATCCTTTCCCATGGGATGCTTTCTGGGTTGTTTAATTAATATAGAGTTGTTTCTCTTCCTGTACATAGTTCAGTTTGATTCTACTTTACCTTCCAGCACAAGGCCTTGGTTGCATTTTCCGCTGCAGTATAATGAGTGTTGTCATGGAAGTATTATACACATGAATGCATAGAGCAAAGGAAAGAGACAAAACTGGGTAGTAGAGAAAGAACTAAAGAATTAGCCATTATTTATGACATATGTGTGATGTAATTCAAAGTCTTATTTTATTGTGTTTTTGACCAGAGACCCCACTCTGCCTTATTTGTTCCACTGAGGCCGTTATAGTACAAGGTTGATAATTATAGAAAGATTAGCAAAATTTTACAAATGTTGAATCCAGTTATGAAATTGAAGAAATAGTTTTCAAGGATGTACCTTAGTGTTGATTCATGCAAAGTGACTGGTTGTGATACCCAGTATTAAAAACAATGATATATAAATTCTGTTCACTACTATTTTTTTAAAATAACTTCTAAAAATTTGAAAATTTCTTTCTCTATTTATTGGTAGTCTGGTGTAAACTATGCTGGATGTAGCACTGGTGTACATCAGGTCACTATTTTTAAACATTTTCAAAGCAGTAAAGGAACCTTGTGTATGAGTTCCAAAAGGTGAAGAGTAATCTGGACCTCCACTCCAGGGTCCTGCTCTGATGTCCCTCCATCTTTCCAGTCCCCCTCCCTAGGACATGACACTCTATAATGATTGAGAGTGAGTCTCAGTATGAAGAGGCTTGAAATTGCCATTACATGAGACAAGATTGAAAGGCACTAGTTTTCCAATACAGGAATTAGAGTGCCTTTGAACTGGGTCATTTCTGTTATTGTAGCATTCCTAGGAGAGTGACAAAGATTCTAGAAACCAACTAAACTTCTTCAAGTCAGATCTTGTATCCGTCTAGGGGAAGTTTCTAACTGCCATAGGAGATGGTCTCCTGGGCCTTGTATGTGGTTAAATGAGAGGAATAAACTCTGAGTAAGTTCAGGAAACACCCTTGCTGGCCTCTCTGCACCTGTTTCTCAGGCTCTGCATAACTAATAGTATTTGGTTTTACTGCTTGCTGTCTTAGGGCAAAAATATTTAGCAATGTTATTGATAATATGATTTGATATAATTTGAAAATCATAATATACAATATCAAACTGTGTCCCTCTGTGTTTCCTTTGACAGGACAAGATCTCCAATTGATGAATCTCACTCCCAAGCAGAGATTGCTCTGAAATTGTCTATAGATATTTTTATACTCTCTCAGCAATCCCATATAGCCCAGGAAGGTTGTCCTAGGAATTTTGTATTACTGTGGTGCATCAGGGCAGGCATAAGATGGAATTCTGTGGAGGATGGAAGCTTTGTCTATTCTTAAGATATCCAGTCTGTCCCCACAGAAGTCAGCTCTATGAACCTTCCATGGGTTCAGCCAGTTCAAATCTAACAACAACCTAACATTCATACCACTCTTGATCTTTCTGTTGATGGTTCTCCGGAACTCACAGACAGGGGAAGCCCTCTCTCCTTTCCATGCTGGCTCTGTGGTTTATATTTGAACAAATGAGTTCATGGTGGTGCTGACACTTTGCAAAGACAAGAGCAGGAGGGCATTAGGCCTTGGAGAAGGAATTTCTGTCCCCCTACAGTTGGTGAAGGAGACGCTTTCTGAGTATCATGTGATCTGCTGAAGATAAGAAAAAATAATGATAAACTCTGAGAATGAATTACAGGAGAAAAATAAATGTACTGGCAAGGAAACAAACATTCCAATAAAGTCTCCACCTGAGGATGCTCATGTATGTGAGATGAGCCAGGTCAGATGGGAAACAAATTGGGATTTCTAGGCACAGGTTCTTGTTTATACAATTTGTTGGCTTATTCTGAGACAACAAACTGTTTATACCACAGAACCCCACTGTCCATGGTGTTGTTTTCTTTTTCTTTTTGTTATTATTGTTTTAATGAAAATAGTCAGATTGTATCCATGCTATTTATAGCAGTATTATTTCTGTTCCTGGCATTCAGCTTTTGTATAGCCAAAGCGTATGTGCATTCTTCTAATTAGAACAAACAAAACAAAACAAAAACAAAAAAGCATACATAGACAGAAATTATAGGGTTCAGGCATGTCAAAGTTACAAGAGAGCCAAGAATCTAAAGAAGTCCTAATTGGGCCTTGCTGCTTCTAACAACAAAAGGTGTATGCGTGTGTTTATGTTTTTGTGCGTGAGGGGGATCATTGTGCACCATACAATGAAGTCCATTCAGTGTCAGTCAATGTCAATCTAGAAATTGAGAGAAAGACTATCCAGGTTCAGGAAACAGCACAATGAGCACACAGGGTGAGAGAGAGCAAGACAGACTCCATTCTAAAGAAAAAGTTCATTTCCAAGCCCTAATCCAGAAGCTGAACTAAGTTCCAGTAAAACTTTAAAATAGCCTTCATAATAGCCCCAAGGGAAATAAACAACCAGCTAGGACCCCAATCAAGGTGACCCCACCAGGGTGGGTAGGCTGCTGGCCAAGAAATAGTTTTGATAAACAACATCTACTGGACCCAAATATCCTTGAACAATGTCTGCAGGCTCCAAAGTCCTTCCATAACTGTTGTTGATGGAAATTCCCCTGGGCCCCAGCCAGTAACCCAATCTTGTAGCGCCAAGGCTTGTACCTCCCAGATTGCGGTTTAAAAACCCCTCACTCTGAAAGCTCAGGGCCATCCTCCTCCACTTGCTTAGTCAAAGTGTTGGACACCGACCAAGTCTGGGCTTGCTTTCTATTAATAAACCCCTGTGTGTTTGCATCAGATATTGGCTCTGTGGTGGTCTTGACTGGGCGTCTTGAGAAATGGGCAATGCAAGGGCTTCTGATAACATGAACTAGTTTCTTACACTCCTAGTTTGGAATTCCGCTGCTCTGTCCCAAAGTTAACTGAGCAGGAGCCCAAAATGTTGCCAAAGTTTTCATACTCCACACCCTGAGGACTCCATAGCATGACATGCAGTTACATCTCTAACTCTAAAATAATAACGAATTTGATTACTACTACCAAAAACAATTCAGGATGAGGCTTACTTATAAATAAATGTATAAAATTATATTTCTGAGGAAATGTAAAGTGACTCCCCACAAATGTATGGGGACAACTTCCAATGAAGTATTCTTTGTGGTGTTAGGTCCAGCAAACTGAACTTTGAAAGGGGTTTTATTTTGCCCTGATTGTATTTTACTGGCCAAATTCATAGTATATGTATTTCCTGCTAATCCACCAACAGTTCTAGTCTCTTATATTTAATGGATATAGATATATCTAGATATATATATTCTAATATGTTGCCAGAATTTGTTATCTTTTGTTTCATTAAACAAGAGCATGTGAATGGAGGTGATCACTGATAATGATCTCATCCAGGTATGGAGTAGAGTAGGGGCATCATGAATCAGCATCACTTCATTCTTTAATGCGCTCTTAAAAAGTTGATAAAGATATTAAAGGACTGTGAAATGACAGACAAAGGGACACTCAGAATGTTTATTTCTGAGCAGGTCTCCAGTCTAATCTTCTCTGTCATCTCAGTCCCAGGGCAGCTTCCTGCTCCTTCAGCGTTTCTGACACACCCAGGATGTGGGTTGTAACACTGTGTTTCGCGCACAGTAATAGTCGGCAGAGTCCTCAGATGTCAGGCTGCTGAGCTCCATGTAGGCTGTGCTGGAGGATTTATCGACAGTCAGTGTGGCCTTGCTCTGGAACTTCTGATTGTACTTAGTATTACCACTTCCAGGATAAATCCATCCAATCCACTCCAGGCTCCGTCCAGGTCTCTGCTTCACCCAGTGCATAAAGTAGCTAGTGAAGGTGTAGCCTGAAGCCTTGCAGGACAACTTCACTGAGGCCCCAGGCCTCACCAGCTCAGCCCCAGACTGCTGCCGCTGGACCTGGGAGTGGACACCTGTGGAGAGAAAGGCAGAGTGGATGTCATAGTTACCTGAGTATATGACCCCCTCCTCATGTCTGGAATTTGGGAGCCCCTTACTTGTAGCTGCTGCCACCAGCAAGAGGATGATCCAGCTCCACTCCATGGTGAGGACCTTGTGTACTCAGTGACTGTGGGAGGACACAAATCATATGTTGTTGTGGGCTGTGGACATCTCTGTATTTACCACCATAGACTCACATGATTTGCCTATTCATGAGGCAGGACACTTCTTAGATAAGGACCTAGTCCAGCTGGAGAAGAAGGAGGTAGAGGAAACCTAGGGCAGGCTGCAGGATGCTGAGGACCAAATTCTCCTAATTCTGTTTGAGGAAGTAGCCATTCCTGAAATCTGTGTAGACCCTGTGGATTTAACATCAAGGCCTAATCACTCAGCTGAAAAACAGAATCCCAATCTGAGACATTTGGTCCTTTTCCCGGACAAAAAATTGATTTATAGTTAGTGGTAGAAATGAGGATAATTATGAATGGAAATTTCAAAAACTCCCAAATTAGGAGATTTTCTAATACTTTTTTCATGTACAAGCAACTAATATTTGCTTTTGCATCAGGTTGCAGGTGTGTGTTCCTGGTTTTTTTCCTTTTTGAAATACTTCTCTTTTTTGTCTGTTTGCTTTCTATAGAGAGAAAAAAAGTTTGTGGAGTTCAGTGGTGGGACTGTGGGAAGGATCTTAGAGGAACTGGGCAAGGGCACTCTGATCAGAATACACTGCATGAAAAAATATATTTTTCAAAAATCAAAAATAAATCTAAATAAAATAAATGAAAAAATAAAATTCTGTTCAATATTTATCAAAGAATTTTTACTGTGTTTGACCATGGAGACTTCACATAACTGCAGAAGGAGTTGTTCAGCTAACAGACTTTAGGAAGGGAATCCAGAGGCTGCAGAGTCCCCTCCACTCTTCATGTCATTTCTACCCTGTTGATTATTGGCTCCACTGTGCCCCCTACTGGTCCTGAGCTCCCCTGCAGGTTGGTATGTCATGACTTACATTGAACTTACACTTTTTAATACTCTTATTCTGATCAGAGTATAGAAATTCATATTGCTCATAGTAAACTCATCACAGCTTCAGTCTTGCTGTGGCTGCTCCATCCTGACCTGGTTAAAATTCAGTACTCACTGATCATAATCAGGAAACCCTGGCTTTGTAATTAGGTGCTGGTGCTTACAAGGTTTGTATCAATTGGATTCATATTGTTGTTGAAAAATCAAATCCTAGCAGAAATATTCATTAAATATTGCTCATATATTTAATCTCTTTTCTTCACTGTACCTGAGAGATTTTGGGAAGTTAATCCACAGATTCCTGAGTGTGCCCAACCTGCAGATTCTCTATGGTCATCATATATCACGGGTGGTCATATAAATGGGGAGTGTGGATATGGATACTTACTGCTTGGTTTTTACAATATGGCTGCCTGGGCCGTCTATAGTTTGACGATGGAATAAGAGAGCGTGAAGACTACAGGGACCACAGGAAACACATCTTGTCATGACACCACCTCCACTTCCAGCCAAACCTCCCCACCTACATTTTTCTGACCTTGTATTTTTGAAGTCTCTGGTCAGTACCAACCTTCTTTTCACACTTGGTTCGTGAACTCCTGTTTTCTGATTAGTAAGCCCACACTGCTCCTGCTTTTCTTCCTTTTTCCCACCCATGAGATAGGTTTCTATCTTTCTTAGAAAGTTGGTATACTTTTTTTTTGAAATCTCAAAACTCCATGGGGAGTCAGCAGAACTTGGTACATTCAGTTGAGGCAGGTCCAAGAACCTCCCCCCTGCACTAAGGCTGTGCAAGGTGTCCCACCATAGGCACTGGGCTCCAAAAACCAGGCTCATGCACCAGGGATGGATCCCAATCCCACTGCCTGGGGGCCCTAAACTGTCTCACCTATCCAGAGGGCCTAGTCCATTACCATGGGGGCTCCACAGCTATTGGTCCACAACAGTTCATGAGTTTCCACTAGTTTGGCTGACCATCTCTGTACATTTTCCCACCATGGTCTCAATGTTCCTTGCGAATAGAATCCTTTCTCTCTTTCTCGACAATTGGACTCCTGGAACTTGGCCTGGCACCCGGCCATGAATCTCTTCATCTGCTTCCATCAGTCACTGCATGAAGGCTCTATGATGGCAGTTAGGGCATTCACCCATCTGATCACCGGAGTAGGTCAGTTCAGGCACTCTCTTGACTATTGCCAGTAGTCTAAGGTGGGGTCATCCTTGGGGATTCCTGGGAACTTCCCTAGCACCCTGTTTCTCCCTATTCCCGTGGTGTCTTCATTTATCATGGTATCTCTTTCCTTGCTCTCCTACTCTGTCCCTGTTCCAACTAGAATTTCCCATTCCACTATGTTCTCATCCCCAATCCCTTGCCTTCCGTTACCCCCCCCTCACTCCCAGTTTGCTCATGTAGATTTCATCTATTTCTCCTTTACTGGGTGATCCACGTGTCCCTCTTAGGGTCCTCCCTGCTAGCTAGCCTCCCTGGAGCTGTGGGTTGCAGTCTGGTTATCCCTTGCTTTACATCTAGTATCCACTTATGAGTGAGATGTACCATATTTGTCCTTCTGAGTCTGGGTTACTTCACTCAGGATATTTTCTAGTTCCAACCATTTGCCTGGAAACCTCATGATGTCATTGTTTTTCTCTGCTGAGTAGTACTCCATTGTGTATATGTACCACATTGTCTTAATCCATTCTTCAGTTGATGGGCATCTAGGTTGCTTCCAGGTTCTGACTATTATGAAAAGTGCTGCAATGAACATAGGTGAGCATGTGTCCTTGCGGTATGATTGAGCATTCCTTGGGTATATGCCCAAGAGTGGTATAGCTGGGTCTTAAGGAAGATTGATTCCTAGTTTTCTGAGAAATTACCATACTGATTTCCAAAGTGATTGTACAAGTTTGCCCTCCTGCAAACAGTGGAGGAGTGTTCACTTTCATATTGCTGTTTCACAGGGTCCACACCTACTTCTTGCTCCATCCAGTCTGTGGCTTGTAGAGGAAACACATGCTAACAGAAGCTGCTGCATACCATACTTTCTCCTCCCTCTTCAACTCCCAAGTCCTTCCCTCCTCCTTCCATGTCCATATACACCACTTTGCTGTCCTTTGAAAACAAACAGGCTTCTAATGAATAATAATGAAATAAAGGAAAAATGAGATGAAGCAAAAACTAATACATCAGAATAGGACAAAACCAAAAAAAAAAAAAACCTGCAGGAAAATAGCCCAAGAAAATGCACAAGAAACAGCTGTGGATGCAGTGGCCACCTGATTTATACCATAAGGATTCCCGTAGAAGCACAAAATTAGAAGCCATAAAATATAGGCAAAGGAACTGTAGGTTAAAATAAGAGATAAATAAATAAACAAATAAATAAGATGACAAAAAAACCATGTGATATCTTGAGATATCGCTCCTCTCCTCTTTTTTGAACTCCTCACTCTCTTCCCTAAATATCTCTTCCTATTTATTCTCTTTGCCTACCAGCCATGCCTACTTCTCTCCTGCCTAGCTATTGGCTGTTCAGCTCTTTAGTAAACTACTCAGGTATTTAAGGCACAGCTTACAGAGTTAAACAAAAGAATGCAGCACAGCACATCTTTGCACAATTAAACAAATATTTCACAGCATAACTGAATATACCACATCTTAAACAAATACTGAGCAACAAGGGATCATCAAATTTCTCTGCAATTAGAAATATTAAAACAACTGTGTGGTAGAAATATGTGTAGCCTTTATAGTTATTGGAATTACCATGAAGATCTAAGAAGTTTAATGAAAAGGAGTATGGCCCTGCATGCTTCTTCAGATAGAGCAGAAGATTGGCCTTATACACAACTTCATTGTGCACTCCTCAGCTGATGGGCTTCTGGGATGATTCCAGGTCTTAGTTGCTGTGAAGAGGGCAACACAGACTACAAACTACCTGGTATCTTTGCAGTAGAGAGTCCTTAGGTGTCTGCCCAAGAGTGATGTAACTAGGTCACATTTCATTTCTATTTTTAGCAGTTGGAGGAAACTGCAGCGAATACCCATAGGGACTGCAACAGTCCAAGCTCTACAACACCGTATATTATTGTTCCCTTTTATCCAATTGATCATCAACATTTTTTGTGATTTATTTCTTTAATAAATGTCATTCTTATAAGAAGATATTTCAAACTTTTTTGTAATTTGTATGTCCCTGATAGATAAAGATGTTGAAAACTGTGAAAAGTGTTTATTAGCCATTTATTCAATGGTTGTGTTGCCATCATATGAGAAAACTATGGAGTTTCTCAAAGCACCACTGCTGTCTGTCTGTAGAATGAAGTCATTCTTAGCATTACAAAGGCTTAAGACAAAACAAAGTAGGTTGTGTCTACAAATCAAGGGAGATCCCCCTTTCTGTGTTTGTATTGAGTTTCACCCTATACCATGCTTGGGATGCTATCTCTGTCTTTTGAGTACATAATCCATTAACAAAACTGTCAGCTCAACATTGTTTGCTGGAGTATTGTGCAATGCTGAGTGGTCCCTTTGAGGGTCACAGTGGCCCTAAGCAGGGTTAGGAAGGTCAGTGACTGATGTTGTGATTGGAACCTGCCTGATCATAGTCTGCTCCTTTTAAATGTTGGATCAGGTTGTTGAACTTTGGAATGGATCACATCCCAGTCAACTCCTCTGATTTCTGTCAATGCACTGCCTCTGCCATGACCTTAATGCAACAAGGATAAGCTCTGAGTGATGTAAGAAGCCTGCTGTCATAGTTTTATAACCCTCCTGCCTGTACTTCCATCATTTACCATGATGATTATGAACTGCTCCCTCCACAAGAGAAAGGAATGGATGTTAAGATGAGCAAAGAGAAGAAGGTTCTCTGCAGGAGGGAGACATCAACATTCACAGGTAATCTCCCATCTTCACAGTGTTCTAGCTCCATAAGGATGAGAGTTTTTATCCTTGTCCACAATGGGAGCTGTATCCAGTTCATGGAAAAAATCAGACTATTTTCTGATGTGTCATTAAAATACCATGAATCTGTTTTATCCAAAGAACTTCTGTATGCACCTTTTATTGATAT